TTCGGACAGGCTCAGGCGAAACAGTAGTGGAAATTTTGAGTAGTTTGGAGAACCGGCAAATACCACCTCTGGCTGGCCACGCCCTCCCTCCTGTTTATCCCTGTCCTATATTCCCTTGTTTTTTAGCTCAGTGCACCAGTGCTGACATCAAGGGCGGTCTTTGAGTGTTGCGAGCACGCGCGCAAAGCCCCCTCTCATACAACCGGTAGGAAAATATTTGGAATCCCTCTGCTGGTTTTGGCCCATATTATGACTTTTCTTGCCACATTTGTTAAGTGAATCCCTGCAGTTCTTAAATGAGTAACACGGTCGTTCAGTGAATCTGGCTTCTCCCATTGACTTGGCTCATCAGACAGTCGCAAAAGGGGATCACGCAGCCCCGGGACACTGCAACAACGGTCGTAAGTATGAACCAGTCGCCAAGCGTCTGAATTTTGATCGTGTGTCCACGGGGACGCTGCCACGGTCCTAAATGTGGAAAATGGTGATCTTCAGTGCCGTTGTAACTTCGGTCACTAAACGAACAGTCGTAAGTCGAGGACTAGCTGTGTTCCCAGCTATTTCCCTCAGCATCTGGTAATTGTTGCGTCTTGTTTTTTCTGTATTGCCAATGTATAATATAATGAAAGAAGGAAAATGGAAACCTTCCCTGATATTAAGGAGGCATTATTATATCCAAAATGAGAAGCTTCCCAATTTGGGGAATTAGAACAGCGAAGAAAAACTGCATTTTACAAGAGGACTAGCTGCTTGTTTAGCAGTTTGTGATGGAGTCTGAATTTGAAAAAAAAACTTTGCTTGCAAAGATGAAAGGCGGGGGGGAAAGGAAGCCACAGGAGTTATTTTCCACTGGGGTGATGCGCGAGAAAATGTGCACAGGAAATAAGGGTGATAAACAGAGTTATTGTGGTCCCATCTCTTCACTGCAGCTCTTGGTGTGCACCCCGGGAGCAGGCTGCTGATTCTCTCGCTGTGGTCTAGCGGCTTGTTCGCTTGCCATCATTGCCTCTGCTGAGTCGAAGTAAAAAAAAAAAAAACAGTGGTTTTCTGTAAAGTGCTATTTTTTGCTTTTTCAAAAGGCAACCAGACTGTCTTGTTTTGCTAGAAGAGATTTCGCTTCTCCTGCAAGGAGCTTCTTCCGTTCTGACTGAATGGTGGAGGATGGAAGGATTTACTGTATATTTTCTTTTGCAGTCATCTGGTCGTTAGTACTCTCTCTTGAGAGCCATTGAGGGCACTTGGTTTATCTGTGCCCTCGGTCACCTGAAGAGTGATCTTCTCGCAACTGCTGAAAGGACCGTGTTGTAGACAGGGGAGAAGTGGCGTCTTATTCCCCCACCCCTCTTTTCAAATAATCAGTAGAACAACTTCCCTCCAGAAATTGTGGGTGCTCCAACACGGGAAGTTTTTAAGAAGAGCTTGGACAACCATTTATTTGAAATGGGATATGGTTTCCTGCCTGAGCAGGGGGTTGAACTAGAAGACCTCCAAGGTCCTTTCCAACTCTATTCCATTCCATTCCTTATTCTAGTCTACTGTTCTGTTCCATTCCTTATTCTATTCTACTGTTTTGTTCCATTCCTTATTCCATTCCATTCCTTATTCTATTCTACTGTTCTGTTCCATTCCTTATTCCATTCCATTCCTTATTCTATTCTACTGTTCTGTTCCATTCCTTATTCCATTCCATTCCTTATTCTATTCGAATTCCATT